AGGTATAACCTGGAATCAGTTTTTGGCTTTTGTGGCTTTGTTTCCTTTATTTATCAGCTAGAATGTGTCGTTGACATTAATGGGCAGCTGAAGTTGCATTATAGTTCTATAAAGATATTTAAAGTGACCAAAAAAGCACTGGATTGAGTATAATGTAGGTTCAGTAACACAGTCATAAAGGAACTTGCAGAACAGGGATTTCTTCATTTTATGTGCAATCACTTTATAAATACTATTGAATACAATATAGTGACAATATAAACAAAGACATTCCACATATACATCTCTCTCTATATATAGAGAGAGAGACATGAAAGAGACAGAGAGACACCGGAAATCACTTTATGGCAGACGATCACGTTTTGGTACAACACCGGCTCTGTCGCGGCTTCGTGATGACGTCACATGACTCACAGTTAAAAGCTCTGTGAGCGTGCGTATTTCTCGCCGGGTGCGGTGGCGCGTGCCTGTAATCCAAGCTACCGGGAGGCTGAGGTTGGAGGATCGTTTGAGCTCAGGAGCTCTGAGCTACAGCGGACTATGTCGATCGGGTGTCCACACTAAGTTCGGCATCGATATGGTGATCCTGGGGGAGCCCGGGACCACCAGGTCGTCTAAAGAGGGGTACACCGGCCCAGGTCGGAGACGGAGCAGGTCAAAGCCCCCGTGTCGCTCAGTAGTGGGATCGCGCCTGTGAATAGACGCTGCAGTTCAGCCTGAGCAATACAGCGAGACCCAATCTTTATACACACCCTTTATACCTGTCTCTACATCACACAGCAACCTCATCAGCACTTCTTTGTCTTTTTCATTTACGTCAAAAACATTCACAAACCTGCTGCTCTGCTCGTCCTATACCACCTCCACCTGCAGCACAGCGGCAACTACAGCCTCCACCCTCAATACTCCTGCTGGCCCACAGGTGGAGACAAACTCAAAGTAGAAAATTTATTCTCACAACTTTTTGTCTGGAACATCTGTTCAATTGAGGAAACATAAAATGGGTCCGCTAGAAATGAAATTACTTGTACACAATTCTGCGATTTGCAGCCTTTAATCACAAGTTCAAAAGAAAGTCTTGAAATCAGGTGTAAAACCTAAGAAAGATCTCAGATGCTTGAGTTACCAAATCACAATCAAACAGTCGCATCAAAGCACTTGCTACTGTAAGGTGTAGATCCCACCTTATTGTGGAGAAAAAGCCAAATCATTTTTAAATGACCTTTTAGCAAGGACTTGGCGACAGTGGGAAGGAAAAACTTTCTTTGAACAGGAAGAAACCTCCAGCAGAACCAGGGTCAGGGAGCCACAGCCATCTGTTGTGACCAGCTGGAGGGTGAGAGGAAAGAGCAAAGAAAGCATAGAGAGACCGACTAAATCAGAGAGAAGACAAAACTTTAAGTCCTGCAGTAGCATGAGCCTACAGCAGCATAAGTAATGGATGATTCAGGATCACTTGAAAAGTTCTTAGATGACACCTTACAGTTGTTCTTAGCTGGTCTTGGTGACTTCCCTCATAAACTACCAGATAACATTAGTGCTGAGTCTCATCAGTGCTCTGGGGTCATTATTAATTAAGTAATCATTTTCTATAAACGCCTTCATTGTGTTTTATTCTGTTTCTGTCAGCGCACAAACATTTTTTTTTTTCAGAACAAAAAACCCTCACTGTCTGGTGAACTGCACTTTACTTACCCTTTAGGGTTTAACCCACTCATTGAACATTCAACATTTCAACTCCACTAAATAACAGTTACTTATAAATAACATTTAAACACCACTGACAGAGAAGATTTGGCATAATCTTCATGGGCACAACCCACATACCTTGGCATAACACACACATACACGCACGCAAGTAAGTTCCCTGACTTTTACCTGACCAGAAATCTTCCCATGAGGGACAAACAGCTTGTTTGACATTTATGTCAACTTCCAGTTGTGCTCGTTTGTTAGGAGAGGGACACTTTAAACCTTTAACACATCAAAAGCCCAGCGAGCCTCTGAAATCTCCTATGTGGGCGCGGTGTGGCCTTTGAGCTTCATTTTAAATATTTCGTTTTCAGCTGTATTTGTTGTATTTGAATAAAACATGGACTCTCAATGAGATCAGCACACAAACAAATTAATGACTTGGATGTTGCGACTGTTTTACCCTTTTGTTTTTTCTTCTCTGCGGGGTGCCGATGACATCACACAAGCAGCGTCAGCCTGAGCAAGATAGCAAAACCCGGTCTTTTTAAACCACTCACACGACAAAAACCATCATTACACATCATTTTCCATCATTCATGAGTTTCATCAGCCTTTCTTTTATCTCACAAACAAGCTGCTCTGCCTGTCCTACACCACCTCCACCTGGAGGTTAGCCGCAAATATCAGTACTGCAACAAATCCATGTGAGACGATTCCAGTTAAAGAACTGTTCAACAAATTAAGTTAATTAAAAATAACGATGAGTGACAGTGATGGAAATAGAAGAACAAATTGTTACTTTTTTCTTCTTCTTTTTTTAATACCTACCTTAACTGACAGTATTGTTGTCCACACGTCTTTCATTTAAAACAACAGCGACTGACAGTCCTTGGTGTCAGTTCCCAGCAGGAGGAAGTGATCGCCTCATTTTATGATTTCACTTGTATTGCACAGTAGTTATGACAGATGGAAAATTACAATATTTGGGCATCAACTTTTAGGCAGTTCTTGATTTATAAGACTGACTCATGTCTTGACCTAAAACAACTGCCCTACCCTTCCACCCCTTCAAAAAAATACAATATTACATAGTTCAGTCTTTTCGAAACAAAGAACAGCCTCAAGTATATGCAGCATTATCGCCATGTTTTTTTATTTTTTCATGGCAAACAGGTGGAATATGTTTGAAACTCAAATCCTTGTAACATAACAGAAATCCAGTACAAAACTCACTTGTTTTTAGCCCTTTACTTTTCAAATGTCGAAAAAGTTACTAAGTAAGTAAACAACGAGTGGCTGATACAATTCACGCCTGCATAACAGTAAAACTCAGAAAGAGTGGGCCAAAGAACAAGAAAATAAGAGCAATATTTCTCTCAAACTGGACTTGACACATTCACTGAAATGACTCATAATCGGCCTTTATTCTGAATTAAATATTTAACCGTTATTTGTCACGTTTGTCGTTTGCCTAATTATCCCTTACATGTATTTCGTGATTATTAGAAACCTCCCACGGTCATTTCCAAGGAAGGTAGACCACAAATGAGGGTATCGCAGTTTGCATTTGAAATAAATGGCCTGTCTGGGGTTTTTCCAAGTAAGGGAGTCCCGATGAAGAGGAGGGAGTATTGTTTAGAGCAGTAATTAAAATTCATCAAAACTGTCCTTACGAGCTGTCGCTTTTCTTTCTTTCTTTTTCTTTTTTACAAACTCTTACTCACACTGGATGTTATGTGATCAAGTGCAAAGCTTGAGTTTAATACAGGCGCCATCAAGCCTTCTGCTACTTCTGTGAGCCTCACCGAGCAGCAGAATTAGTGCAAGACATACAAACAACAGTTATAAAGATATTTCAAAAGCTTTTACACATTTTTTAAATCATTCACTCAATGTTTAAAAATTGATACGGCGGGATTTGGGGGTGGTTCTGAGCATCCCTACACTCCCAGCAACAGTGGGTCGTTGAGGGTTCGGGCTGTACTGCGTCCAAGCTGTGAAAAACGATCTTTAAACTAATATGTGTTCACCCTGGTTTAAGCCTAATTTGACAAAGCAGCTTTCCTCCTTTCTCTCTTTCTCTCTCTCTCTTTTGCAGCCTCAACTCTTTTGGACAGCGTTAAATGCCAAGTATTAGAAATGTCTGCCCTTGCCCAAGCTCTTCAAAATTCCTGTGATGGTGGAACATGTTTTTGTGTGGGAGGACTGTTCTGCCAAGCAAAGCTGTTTTAGTCCTGATTCTCTTTTTTTTTCCTCCTTTTTTTTTTCCTTCTTCTCACAAGAAAATCTTGTTCTTGCACGACCAAATGCTGTCTCGTGATGGGGGCAAACAAGAAAAGGACTAACGAGTAAAGGGCACCGCATGCCTTAAATGAGCCAAAAGCTCAGTTTTAAATGGATTGTGCTGGACGCTTAAACAAAAGCGTGTGTGATTTTTTTTCTTTTCTATTACAGTAATAGTGTGAGTAAAAAAAACATTACTTCCAGTATGTTCCCCCTCCTCAAATTGTACATTTTCTCGAAGATCCCCCACTCTTTGCACATAAACATCTTCGTTTAGAGTAAAAGGCTGTGAGAGAATTCTGAGTGGGGCATTGGGGAGCCCCTTGGGCATTTCTCATTGCCAGTACACTTGACATCACCTTACCTATTTCGCAGCTGGTGAGCCGCAAGCCAGCAAGTGCTGCACAGTTCTGGAAATTACCATGAAGCATGTGTAAATACTCACAGCCCAGTCATCCATGTGGAGTTTTGGGATGCAGTCTCTTGAGGACTAAGTCGAAACTTCATATCTGTGACAGCTAAACAAAAAGAAATAAGAAGAAAAAAGAAAGAAAAAAAGAGGAAGCCCATAATGCCAGCTTAACACACATGTGCGCCCCCCCCCCACACACACACACACACAAACACACACATCCCCACTACCCAGACATAATCACACTTGTGTAAAGATTAATGTGTTATTTTTGTGATAACCTGACAATTGTGCTGCTTCCAAACAAACAAGTTTTTAGTTCTGTCAAACTGGGTAATTCATTTGTGAGGCTGTGAGCATCCACTGATAATGTATTCAAGGAGTGAGTTAAGCTCTGGTTGTGTTATTTTTTTTGGACTTTACACAATTGCCTTGCTCGCCTTAACTTTCCAACAGACATGTGACTTCCAGTCTAGTGCAACTTACCAGAAACTACATCAGTACGTCTAATTAGGTAGACAGCTAGTATCAGAGAGAGAGAGAGAGAGAGAGAGAGAGAGAGAGCGAGAGTAAGAGAGAGAGAGAGAAAGAGAGAGCGAGGGAGGAGGGACAGAGAAGAAAAGAAAAGAGGGAAGAAAGCGACTCAGTGCTCGTGGTAAGCCAAGTTCTTCTTAGCGCTCGTACGGCTACAAAGGCTCTCACTCTCTCGTTCTGGCTCTCTCTCTTTCACACACACACAGACAGACACACACTTCACCAGATCACACACACTCAAAAACACAAAGCAGAAGTGGACAAAGACACAAAGTTTCAGTCGCTACAGTCGGCTATGGCGCAGGGCTCTGACAGCAATGACACAAGTTACAAGTCCCCATCACCTGGAAGCAGACAGGTAAGTGTGCATGGTTCGTTTACTTTTACGAGGATGTGCCCGGTTTTGTCGGAGCGATTTTAGTTTAACATCTCTGGATGTACTCGTGTGGGTATGTTTTAAACACGCACCTTTGATTGGCTGCATTCTTTCATGCATATTTTTGTGGGCAGCAACCAAGGCCACCACTAGAGACACCCATCCTGTCTCTGCTGGCTCTTTTCACAGTTTCTCAGAGTGTCTCACATGCACACATGGGCTGGAGGCATGACTCGCTGCAAGTGTAGGCTTTTGTGAATTGCAAAAAAAAGAAAAAAACTCAGCACCACTTTGCCCAAGTAGTGGGACTCCATTGTTTTTGCAAGTCCTCAAACTGCGAATGAGAGCTGAGAGCTGTTGGGAACAGACATCGTGTTAAATACAGTATGTACTGTGCATTTCTGTGCATGGGAGAAGCTGTCCATTACCCTCGGTGCTGGCTGGTTTCACATGTGTCAGTCTCTAGTGTTCACTATTGCTCAAACCTGTTCTGGAAATAGAGCGCTCAAGCGACGTATTAACGCTACAAGGCATGGAAATAACTTTGATCATCTAAATTCAGTTATTTCTGTGAGCAACGCTGGTTGTCTGGGGGATTTTCAGAGAGGTGCTAACAGACGTTCAGATGAGGTTAGATACTACATTTCTTATCTCTTTGATGTCCAACCGACTCAGCATTTTGAAATTGATTAGTTATTATGATACCAAGAAAATCGAGTGTTCAGGACATGAAACAGGGTGTGCGTTATAGCTAACCGATGACTCAGCCACTCCCCGACCCTGCCCTTGCACATTAGGTGTGATGTTAGGCAAGTCTTCCCTGAACTATCATTTTCACACCCCGGCTAGAGCATCCAGCACAAACTATTTACCAAGCTTCTCGCAGATTCACTCTTTCAGGCTCAGGAGACGTCTGGTGGCCTCTGTGTCATTTGCACAAACACACTAACTGAGGGCCTGCTGTTTTGTTTCAGAGCTCAGACGACCCAAAGAAGGTGATGCGGCGCGAGAAGAATCGAATCGCTGCCCAGAAGAGCAGGTTGAGGCAAACTCAAAAAGCTGACAGCCTTCACTTGGTAAGGACACCTTCCACCACACTTAACACCCTCAAAGCAACACAACGCGAACAGATGTCTCAGCAGGACATGCTGAAAACAAGTCTGCCATGCTGGTTTCAAATCAATAACTGCAGATTGACTGGATAAACTTAACACTCCTTGTATGTCAGAGCTGCTAATTCAGCCTATCTCTGTGAATAATGATGAAAGCATCAGGGGTGTTTTTTGCTATGCAATGCCCTGCCAACTGTTCAACCTCCAGTGTAACTCCATAGCACAAATGGAAAGAAATTTTGAGTACTGCAACAGACTGCAGCGCTTTCTAAGTGTCCGTGCAGCCCTTTGAAGCCTCTGGGAGTGGATTTGTACTATATTTACAAAATGCTACCTGACCATGTGGCGATGTGTCATGGCTTCTGTTGGGCTGCACACTTGGACGCTGTTCGGTGTGTTTTCAGAAGCTTAAGGAATAAATTAGCACGTGTGGGCAATCACTCCCTTTTCACAGCAGAAACGAGCATCAGAGACTGCAGCACAGTGTATGACGACAGGAGTGCGTTCACGCTCGACTCCTTTTGTTCACCGCTTTATTTGTTTGATCTTTTATAGCTCTTTTTCTTTTTAACGTTAGAGTGGGTAGTCAGCACATTTCTGCTGGATGCGCAGCTGGATGCTCTGTTATGTTAAAAGCAACCAGTGACCCATTGAACACTTCCACTAGCTCAACAAGGTGTCATTTCTTACATCAACCTATATTTCAAAACACTGATCACGTAACCACTCGCCATGTGACTTCCTCGTTCAAGAAAAGAAGATGCGTGCGGCACTGAGCTCTTTCACAGTAATGTGTCAAGAGCAGCTGTTTCAGTGAACTTTATCAGACGAACAGAAGAGATTTTTGACCTTCAAAAAAAGCCACACCGTAGGCTGTAGTAGATCCAGTGTAGCTGATTTGAATATGTGAGAATCCTTCCTGTGAAGTACGGTACACATTATCAATCTCTTTAAACCCATCAGTCACACAGAATACAGCCTGTGGTTTTACTTTCATCGTCTCGCTAGATAAACAGGAAGGTGAATTTTCCCTCTCTTTGACACTGTGGCTTATTTCCTGTTTCTTCAGTAGTATTTTTTTCTTCTTTGTAAATGAGCTCGAGTGCTACATGTCGTGGGCAGGAGGGGAGAAAAAGGCAGTCACTTCTTGTAAAACACTGATAGCAGTGGGCCGTATTTGGCTAAGTGACGCAAGTACAGGGGTTTGCCCAAGGGTTCTGTGACAGTAAGGACTCACAGCTCAGCTTTGTGATCTTTTGGCCATGGTGAGATGACCTTTTAATTAACCAAGTGGAAGATTTCTCTCCTACAATTCCCACACAAAGGTGAAAAAAAAGAACGAATGAAAAGAAAGAGAGAGAAAAGTATCAAGCAGTGACGTACCTTTTGCTCTACTTGCTAAAAACTGATCATCGGTTAGAAAGACACCTTCTTTCCACTTGTTTTGGAAAATGTGGCACCCAAAAATGTCAGAAATGTACCTTTTCACACTGTGGTGCAAGTTGCACACAGTTTCAATCAATAGTTGCAGGGCAATGTAACAGGGTAATGTGTATTTTTGTCTATTTTCCTTCTCCTTTTTGCAGTGTTGCCACCAATATTTCTACTTTTAGAACAAAGCAATGTAGATGTTGTAGATATTTCATGTTCTACTAACTCCTAAGTAACCAAAGCTATTCATTTCAGTACTGAAACAGAGACAACTTTATCTCAAGTGGCAACAACATGCTTTTACTTTTACACTTTTACTGAGTGGCCCATTACAAATGATCACTGAAACAGGCAGGGATGCCACAGTTTTAGCATTTTTTATACTATAAAACTTGAACTGTGGACTCGTTGCTTCACTGTGCTCGCAGTCTTTGTGTTGAAAGGTTGAAATAGTTTAATGATTCAACTACTCACCATATTTAATCCAGGCATCATTTCTTAACATAAAAGTTGATCATAAAGAAAAGAATTAAACAAATTCCAACTCTGACCTGATGATGGCGTAAGGCATCACTGTGATCTTAATCCTCTCTGTTAGTGGGAAGACATTTAACTACACATTTAATCCCTGAGATATCTTAAATATAGATAAAGAAGTGTAATTTTAACAGCACACTATGTGATAAATGTGTAAAGTTACAGAAATAGTTCTGGGCTCACTGCCCAGACTATCCAATATTTATATTTGTGTTTGTGACTGGATTTTCAAAAACATTTTTTTAAGAACTGTAATTTCTATAATAAACAGTGACAAACAGGAACTTTTCTACCATTTATTTATTTATTATTTAACTACTTTGGTGTAGTTTGAGTCACAGTGGGGAGGTCTTTGTAAGCAGAAAAAGGTGTAAAACCTATTTAAAAAAGGATTAAAAGTTTAAAAATGTATGCCCTCCTTAACATTTTCCAAAGCTGTCCAGTGGGCCGGATTGCAGTCTTTGCTGGGCCGATTCTGGCCCTTGGGCCTTGGGTTTGACACCCTTGGCCTAAGGGAATCAATAAGCTTATTCAATTTCCCTAAACTGGGCATGTATGAAAGCATGTCAGTTTAATGACAATCTAATCGTGGCTTAGATTTAAAGTCAGGCCATCCACTGTGGACAATGATTCTGCAAAGCTGTTGCGCTCTTCTGTTCTACATCGAATGGTAGACAAACCATCCAGCACATTCATACATGGACTATTAAAAATGGCCTGCATTATCCTTTTGAAATGTTTGGGGTTAAAATATACCGTGCACTAAAACATGCAAAAACACCAGCGCGGAAGCAGGATATGTGGTTGTGGCTTTTTCATGAACAAGTAGTAAAGACCATCACCTTTATGCTGTCCAACTTAACCTCACACAAAAAGCACACACTTTTATAGTAAATAAAGCAGCTCTGCTCTAACATCCCCTCCCTTCGTGTTTACAGGAGAGTGAGAACCTGGAGAAGGAAAATGCCGCCTTGAGGAAGGAGGTGAAGCAGCTGACAGAGGAGGCCAAGTATCTGTCGTCTGTGCTGAGCAGCCACGAACCTCTGTGCACCGGCCTGGCTCCTCAGACCCCGGACCTCCTCTATCCTCCTCATCACAGCAGCTACAGCACCAGCCAAAAGTTTGGGGTGTATCCAAACTTTTGACTGGCACTGCACCACCGCCAGCAAATCGCTGTACCACACTACCAGCGCTAACCCCCTCCCCCTCCCAACTGACTACTGAAGATGTACTGCGAAACAGACGACTGACCTCAATGGAGAGAGACTGACTGGAGATATTTCAATCAGTGTTAAAAACCTGATCACAGAGTAACATGACAGACCAACGTGTCTGCCACACACGGCAGCCAAACTGTAATTATTTATTTCGCTTCTGCTCGTCTCTCTGCTTTTCTGATTTATTATCAGCAATCTATCTGTGAACTTAAATGGCTCATTGAGTAGAATTATCAGCCAGTCCATGTTTACACAGAGTGAAGAACCAACCTAGTATATAAATGTTGAAGTGACTCAGGCGATATTTTTGTAAATTGCATACTTTTAGTGTGAAGGAGAGCCACCTTTATCATCTCACCCACCTTGTTTTGTTTTTGTTTTTTCGTTTTGTTTTTGTTTTTTGTGTTGTTCACTGTTTTAGTGTGTTACTGTTGATTGCTAATTCTCAGGACCTTTTGACAGATTTGATTGTGGACAAAGAGAATGTAAAGTCAAGATCCTAAGAAAAGAGGTTTTTCAGACTGTGTACCAAAAAAAAAAAGCAATTGTTGATGATGAAGAATTGGAACCTGGCGTTCAAAAGGTCTTGACTTCTGTTGATAAAGCTGATATGTGAGAAGAGCCAGCTGATCTATTTATTAAATGTAATGCCTTTTAGGATGATCACTGTGACCTCTTTTTTTTCTTTAATAAGACAGCAGTGTGTGACACCACCAGTGGTGCTGTGGTGTCACAGGAGCTTGTGACAGCATCCTGGAGGTCCCTAGATGGCACTGTTTACCAGAATGAGATGCACGATTAAAGTAGCTTATATTAAGGAGAACATAGTATTTTGAAACCTTCCCTGTATAACTTTACTTTTTAAAAACTTTGTGAGTGTGTGTGTGAGTGTGTGTCCTGGAGCACAGCTGAGCCTCTCGTGTCACCTCTCAGCCAGTTATTTCATAACTGCCTGCCCAAAATAAATGATGTTATCTGCAATGCTTTTAGAGTAAACAACTGCAATAAAAGTGATGATTACCAGCATGTTTTATAGTTCACACACTACTAAGATACCAGAGAACAAATGACGCGCAATTACGCGCGTTAGTGTCTATAATCTCGATGTTACAGCGTGTTCAGATACCACGGAGAGAGAGAAGAGTTTTATCTAATAACTCCGCCCTTGTGCATGAGCTTACCGAGTTCGTTTCAAGATCCCAACGCGGTCTTTTAAGTCCGGGTGGAGGGTTATAGTAGCCGGCTCTCCGACACGTGGTACCGATCGGGAAACTAAACTTCAGATAACTATTAATCTGGCATTAAATCATCTGCAGCTCAAAGTTTGTTAACTTTCTCAGGATCTGGGTGAAAGTTCGGGTACCAAAAATATCTTCAGTGCTCAGCCGGGAGGAAATGAACCGATAGATTTTGGAGACAGCCGCAAAAACATTGGAAGCTCGCCTCTTTTAAAAACTTTTTCTCTTTCTAAGCATATATATTTATGTAAAACAGAGTGGAAAGGGAGCTTCTGCTGCTGAATACATATCGTGTTAGGCCTGACTTTCTTTTAGGTTAGACTTTCCTAAAGCGCTGAATGTTCCTCAATGAAAAAAGAGCGAATTCAGGTTCTTTCACTTTTGTTGAGTGTGGGTTAACAAAACCACAGCAGCTGAGTGCCAAGTTTATTCCCGATGAGTATTACTGAGGAGACCTAGAGGAACATGAGTGAGAAACAAGCGCTGGAAGACACTAAACCAAACGAGGATCAGAGTGTGTGGAAGGCGGACTCTGACAACCATGTCAAGCTGGAGGGGGGCGACGCTGCGAAGCCCAGCGACATCTCAAGTGAAGGGAACGGCAGCGAAGGACTGCAAGCTACCCGTCTTTACCACCGACGATGGGTGATCGTCTTCTTGTTCAGCTTATATTCGCTGAGCAACTCTTACCAATGGATACAGTACAGCATTATCAGCAACATTTTCACCAAGTTCTACAGCGTCGATGATTTCACCATAGACTGGATGTCTATGATCTACATGCTCACATACATTCCCTTCATCTTCCCGGTAACCTGGCTGCTGGACAAAAAAGGGCTCCGGGTCATCGCCCTCGTCGCCACGGCGCTCAACTGCGCGGGGACGTGGATCAAAGTGGCCAGCGTCAGACCCAACCTGTTCTACGTGACATTCCTGGGACAGTTTTGCTGCTCTTTCGCGCAGGTCTTCATCCTCGGGATGCCATCTAGAATCGCGTCGGTGTGGTTTGGTTCAGAGGAAGTGTCCACTGCATGCTCCATCGGAGTCTTTGGGAATCAGGTAGGGTGTTCGATGCAAAGGCCGTCCTATAGTTGGAAAGTAGGTTAAATTAACGTTTAACCTACTTGAGAATGTATGGATCCTATGTTTAGGCTAATAATGCTAATAACTTGGACCCTGCCATATCTCCAAGCACGTTTGCGTAATTACGCACGTTTAAGTGACCATAGTGCATCACCAAGCAACAGTACTGGATGCTGGGGATGTGGGACAGCAACAATGCACACAGCGTGGACTGACATGCAAGACAAAACAAAAAAGAGCTACAACAACAAAAACTATGTGTCATAATTTATATGTAACTTTTTAATGAGCGACAAAAAGTTTCCCAGACTCTTCCACTTTCAGGAGAGTAATAGTAATAGTAAACCATATATATATATATATATATATGGTTTACTATTACTATGTACCGCTATAAATTAGGAGCAACAGGGCAGTTGAAAATCATGTGAGCTGTCAAATCAGCACAAAGGAGTGCAAAGATCAGCAGTGTGCTTTTGGTATCATGAAATACCAAAGTATCAGACTTAACACTAAAAGTTTCTGAACAAGCAACGCTTGAGTCACCTTAACATCAACTCCAAGCAAATATCACTGAAATGTCATCATTTCTTACTGGGAAACAGTTGGATACAGTCTGAATAACTAAGAACAAACTGTTGTTCGCAATCTGGGAATCTGCAAACACCTCCCAAATAAACTCAATTTACTTTTTTTGTCTCTTTTATAAAACACAAACATAACAGATGCTTAAAAACCTGATTAGACCACTGTCTAACCCTCCAATACTTTTAATTGGATTCATTCTAAACTGCCTGGATATCAGTGCTTTTAATCCTATCACAGTAGTATAATCATAATCATCATAATATCATAATCATCTAAATGGTTTGTTACATAAGGTTACACATTTAGTGCCCGCAATGCTGGATAAGCAGTTTGTTTCTCCAAGTCTGTTCTGCAGTATAAATTTTAAACAGCTTGAATGCAAAAAACCCTGAAAGATTGGAGAATTCTTGGTATTTTCCCCAACAGAAAACAGATACTTCAGAGTGAACAATAACTAAGACTTTGAAATATTAACTGAAAAACTGAAATTGGTGACCTTTAACAAGAAAAATGGTTGAAGTTCAGCAGAGGAACATGTTTTTCTCAGTAATTAGTTAGTTAATGGAAGATATTAACATCCTATATTAACATCACATGACAGGACTGGGTGTAATAAATATGTGGACATGGGGTAAAGGAGCACAGTGTCATCACATGCGAAGGGACCTGGGACACCAGTAAGGCAACACTAATTCCAGCTGCTCTTGCTGTCTGGCATCTCTCTACTGCAGGCAGTTTGAACAGAGGACAGCAAGCTGTTAGGACACAATCTGGTCTCGAACATTTCGGGGGGCCCGTTTCAGGACAGTTGAAATGCCGCAAAACAATACTTTGAAAGGGGACCGTGCAAATTCGGAGCTCAGCGGTGAAGAATGGCTGTGTTCCAAGGCTGCAAAGAATCTTGCTCCAGGCTTTTCATCACTGCAATGGAGTCCAGAGCCTTTTGGCAGAGCGGTCTCCACAGGGTCCCGCTTACACATGGAGACTTTGGGTGACCAGTCGGATTTGGCCCCAAAGGTTGAGACCAAGCTGTATCACCGTCGCTGGTTCATGCTGTTTCTCTTCAGTTTTGTCTCAGCAAGCAATGCCTTCATGTGGCTACAGTATGGCATTATTAGCAACATATTCATGCGTTTCTACAACATTGATGCTCTGGCTATTGATTGGTTGGCCATGATTTACCTGCTCACTTACATTCCACTTATTCTGCCCATCCTCTGGTTCTTGGACAACAGGGGCATCCGGGATGTTGTCCTCGTCGGGTCAGCCTTCAACTGCATTGGCGCTTGGATAAAAATCGGTAGTGCCAGTCCAGATACTTTCCCAGTGACCTTTTTTGGCCAGTTTGTGTGCTCAGTAGCCACAGTGTTTATCCTCGGTATTCCTTCATACCTTGCCTCTGTGTGGTTTGGAGAGAAAGAAGTTTCCACCGCTTGCTCCATAGGAGTTCTGGGAAACCAGGTTTGTGTGATCTCTGTCAGTATTCAGCATCTCTTTTTTTTGCCACAGGAGGGTCTGTATAGTGAGGTCAGAGTTGTCTGACAGCTGCCTGTAAATTATGCAGGGCAGACTGGATGTCAGGGTCACATACGACTGCTAATCGCTGCACCAATTCACTTTTAAAGGTCGTCCAAATCTTCAAGTTGTGTGCTCTAAATCAGATTTTAAACTAAGTTATAATGTAACTAGTTAAATAAAATTCTAGGCTCAAATGTCTTCTTCAGATTTATTGGAGCTTTGATATCAATGTCATAAGTGATGTCATCCAGCTCTGTGTACAATTACTTCAGTCTACTTTTGCTTCTCAAGAAGGCGACTGAAACTCTTTCGCCTTCGGTCTAAAATGAAACAGCGAGGCCTTATCTTATTTTCCTAAATCACACAAAAAGAAAACCCAAGAAGTCCTCTACAGACACAAATAGAAAACATCTGAGCAGGAGGTCTGAGGTCAGTTGCAGGCTCAGGTCATCAGGTTCAGCAAAGCGGGGTATACCATATGTGACATTTTGCAAACTCAGCAAAAAACCTCCCTGGAATAGAGGAGCCTGTTCTAAATAGAATCATTCAAGACAAATAACAAGTATTAAAACTTTTTAATACGCACTGTGTAAAGTTACAAGGCATGTAGAAGACATGGAAATAATGGGCTAAAAAAGCTAAGATTTTCAGTGTTTTAATTTAGTGAAAACTGTTTGTGGCACTTGTTTTCTTCTAATTCTGTTAAATTCTTCCATCGTCCTGCAGCTGGGTATTGCAATCGGGTTCCTTGTGCCTCCTATCCTGGTGCCTAATGTGGACGACATGGATGAGCTGGCTCACCACATCCGAATCATGTTCTACATAACGGCAGGGGTGGCTACTTTACTCTTCGTCCTTGTTGTCTTCGGTAAGGTAATCACGAAAAAATAACAAAAATCACAAAGATGGTACTTTCTTATTTCGTTCCGGTGGTTTCTAGCTACACAGACAGCTTGGGTTATATGTGTAATCTCTTGGTGTCTTCACAGCAAAACCAAATTATTGGGTATATTATGTTGGTTGCACTGAAACCCTTAATACTCATCTTCCGATGGGGGTCAGGGTTTTTGATACAATGCATTTTCAAAGAAAAGAGTTGAAGCCTGTGGTTCATTATTATTTCAAACACGATTTCTAGCTGCTTTGTGCAGCACGAAAGAAACTCTACACAACCTCCACCGTAGTAAAAACTGTGTCCTCAACGCCTCTGCATATAAAATGAAACTTTCCGCATGGCTAGACATCATGAAGCACAGAAGCGTTTTTTTCCCGTCAGGTTTTCGAATTTACATAAAATTGCATGAAAATGATGTTACTGTACCGTGTAACCGAGGATTTTTTGTGAATGGTTAAAGAGCGACATTCGGTGGTGCTTTCGCTCCTGTCTGCTATAAAAGGCTCGGGCATTTTGACATGTATTGTATGAGGTTTTTTCCTACTTCATGCCCGTGGGAATTTCTTATTGAGTAGGCTGACCTCATGAAGGTTTTAATTTACACCAAACTTACACTCTTGACAAGAAGCACCATTCAGTGGACCAAAAAAAGTGCTGACATGGATGCACGTACAACACAAAACCTTAGTTAAAAGGGGACTTTCATAAAAAAAGATATTATTGTAGCACAAGTAAGGTCGTCAGAAGTGTACTGAAATCCATCGTAAGTCATTTGAGCTATGGACATAAGAAAAAGAGAACTCAGCACTTTGTGGCAGAAGGAAGTGACATGACAAACAGCATGTGATTGATGAGGAAAAAATGCTTTGCTGTGTCTTTATGTATGATTCCCCTTCAAATGTGGCATTTGTTGTGAAACCCAGAATCATGTGCTGTGCCATTTATGGATAAGATAAAATAACAGTGCGGGTGTTTAATCAAAATGCAATAAATATGTTTTACTTTTAAAAACACTGACTTGCTATAAGGAGCATGTATGAATATGCTGTTTTCCTGCAGCGGGGTAGGGAGGGGCGGGGGGCAACGACGGAGGCTGGCGTTCCTCATAAGCATTCTGCATTCCTAAACACAAAAGGATGCTTGTGAAGGAATTTCCTAGTAGTACCATGCACAGCATTTAGACTGACTATACAGTCAGTGTTAGTGCTTTGGCTATAGTCTGCTGTTGTTAATGAAGCACTATGAAATGCAAACCTCAGCTTATTCAGTGCTTATGTGACTGTTCGGTCAGTCACATGGTGTTTGCGTTCATAAGTACGCTACATAATTGACTCTCGCTGTGTCAAATTTGCCTGTGACCCACTAAACAGTTATTTATGGTTCCTAGAGTAAGGTAGGAGGACTCACAATGCCTCTGTTTATGGTAAATACGAGGCTGGAGGTAGATAGTTTAGGTTAATCACTGGGTGAATGTGTAGCTGCAAGATGGCTGCAAGTTGAGTAAATTCCCCTACCAGCACTTTTGTTAATTTATACATTATTATTTGCCCAAATAATGTCATCTGACGTTTCAGAGGGATTTTTGTGTTTAATGTGCTTGAACTGGCTCAGTTGAGGTCAGTAATTGCAGTTTTTTTTTTTTTTAACATTTCTTACAGGTACTTGTGTTTGGTTGTTTTCTTGCTTCAGGTACATACAGACACAAGTGACACTGATCATCTCGTCTTCTCAAAGTGTATTCTCAAAATATCCAACCATTATTAGTGTAGCTTATTAAGTTTTCCAGTCACATGACCGCAAACTACGTGACATGTGCAACAGTGTAGGGTCAAGTGAATTAGACACTAGTCACACAGGCCTAGGAACTGGCCTATGACCACCTGACAAACTCTGATCGCTAGGGAGAAATATGTATTTCCTGACTGGCTGAAGAAAACCTTCTTGCAATTGCTTTGGTCACTAGAAAAATGCTTCAGTGGGCCGTAGTTTGCATGAAACACATCAACTTGTCTGTAAACACTCTCCAGCTACTCTCCAAGGAAAGAAAACTGTGAAAGGTGCAACACAAACTGGAAAGAGAGACTGCTTCCCTTCAAAGGACAAGTTACTCCTTTTAAAACATAAAGCCCAGAGGCACAACTTCTGCATATAAAGCAAAGATTTCCTATTTCTTGTTTGTGTTGCACTTTGTAAAATAGTGTTACTGCTTAACTAGTAGTTAGCGTGTAATTTGTCAGACAAGTTGACATCTTCCTTGTAACTAATGGAACCCAAATCACTGCCAAGGAGGATTTGTTGCAGCACTGTCTTTGTGATCGATTTCATCCACCATGAACCAGCAACCTTAAGGAACCAGTCACCAACCACATGCAATTTATTCTTTGTGACCAGTGGTTGTATCACATTCAATATAGCACACAGCCCTCAAGCAATGTGGGCACATTCCTCATGACCAGTGGTTAAATCATTTTCAATATGAAGACAACTGTCAAGTATTATGTGTATGATAACACACAATAAATCTCTTATATATATAAAAAAAATAAAATAGCTTGTTTGCGGGCTAGCATTTACATTTTTTTAAAGCGAGCTATTGTGAACAACTTTATATTTGCAGCTTTTTTATTTTGGCATTATTACTGTGACATTGTAGTTTTGTTTTTGGTTCTGAAGATGAATATGGCCATATTTGGATAAGAGGACATGCATATTTTTGAGCTAGCACTAGCTAGCTTGCAAGCTTGCTTCATAAGGTGTTGATGAAAATTTTGACTTACTGTCTACCTATCTAGAAAATTTGACTCAATAACCCAAAGTTACATATCTCAAAAAGTTCCACTTGCGTACCTTGAAATTTAAACGTACTTAGAAATAACTTTTTTCTGTGGCAGAAGTAAGCTAACTTTAAAAGTTATTATGATATAATAATGGATTGGATTTATATAGCCCTTTTTCAAGGCACCCAAAGCACTTTACAATGCCACTATTCATTCACACACTGGTGGAGGCAAGCTATGATTGTAGCCACAGCTGCCCTGCGGCAGACTTACAGAAGCGAGGCTGCCATACCGTGCCATCAGCCCCTCTGGCCAACACCAGTAGGCGGTAGGGTAAAGTGTCTTGCCCAAGGACACAATGCCCAGGACAGAGAGCCCAGGGATTGAACCGGTGACCTTCCGGTTACAGATACGCTTCCCAACCCCCTGAGCCCCTACCTTTGGCTATCAAAAAACAGACTTAAAACAAATATTCTTCCCGGAAAAACTCAGCTAAGCTCCATGCAGTGCCTTTTAGTTTCAAAGGCCTAGACACAAGCAGTACAGCTTGGCAGACATGTTGCCTCAAATCCAGACTTATCTACTTGAATGTGGAAAGTGTCATAATTCTAATTTCAGTGGCCACCAGAACATAAAAACTGCATACTTTGAATAACTGTTAATATTTAATAAAAATGCTTCAAAAGTTTGGCAACTTTACACCCAAATGGGGTCATTTTTTTCTGCTACAAGTTACCCATTACCCACAATTTCACAACATTATAACTTGTGAAGTGCTTGTGATTTGGCACTTCTGTACTGGCTCAATTTTTGAGTCACAAATGTTGCTATGTGATTTCAACACATATAACTCATCCCAGGGTGGCAGAGGAGTTTTTTTTTTTCCATTATATATATATTTTTGGAGGCCTGAAGTGGCAACACTGTGCACAGTTATAAAAAAGGAAAATGTTTTATTGTAGGGCCTTGATTTTTGGATCTGCTGACATTTTAGCGAGCAAGGGATGTGACTTATGCTGTTCCTGGTTACTCTAGTGTGAAACTTGACACCAGGTGGCTGCAGTAGTTTAATGACACATATATACTAGCTCACCCTCATGCATACATGCAAGATGCCATGTGTGAGGGTTGTCCTGCTGGCAGGACCATCTGTAGTCCTGCAAAAGGGCTGTGAGTCAGCAGGGCAGACAGAGTCCCAGGATTGAGAAATTTGCATAAACTGTGAGGTGAGAGAAGATGCTTAGCTTCTGCCTTTCTTTAAAACAATCGTATAAGTTAAACTTGGAGACCGTCTGCTTTGACATATGACTACTTACTGTTTACTGAAAAAGGAGAATTACCATGACGATGAAATCCAAGCCATATAGGAAATTTTACCTGTGATCAGTCTGAGAACTCCAAAGGTTATTTGAATAGAAATTTGCATTCTTCCATGTGCAGTGATGACTACGCATACAGCAGTTGAGATCACGGTATAATTTCAGTCTCATCACCACCATTGGCAGATCAACTGTGTAAAAGAGTAGGACACTTTTGGAGGATTAGTGAAAACAGCTTACTGTACACAGACCCTCATGTGAGATTTGCCAGAAGGAAAAAAGGTGTCCCTGGTTCAGTTACAAGAAATACAAAAACACACATCTGTTTATCCCTACAAGGCCGGGGGCACGTAGCTCCACCAAGATGTCTTCAACACCAGACAGTAGCTGATTTTCACTGGAGCAAATGAGAGTATAGTGGGTTACATAGAGGCGTTAGAGCCTGTCCAGTCTTGCCTGAATGTGTCACTGGCTCCTTCCACAAAGAAGCCTGTGGCCCTAGGGAGGAAATATAACCCTGAACTTATTTCTACCACTTAGCATTGATTGATCCTTTGAATATTACAGGTGGACGTATCCACCAATAGAGTTGCTTCTTATTGCTTTCCAGTTTTCATTGTAAGTGTGCAGACTGCTGCTGTTTACTGTGTTTCACACTGTTGTCGATCTTTCCACATGTCAGTTTTCCAGGAGCGTCCTAAAATTCCACCGACTCAGGCCCAGGCCACAGCTCGCAGCATTCCACCAGAGCAGTACTCCTACATAGCCTCCATCCGAAACCTGCTGCGCAACAAGCCCTTCATGCTCCTCGTCGTCACCTATGGTTTGTCACTACTGTTCTCCAAATTTTTGTTAAATTATGTTGTCATTAACTTTTTAGAACGGGCTAAAAGACATTAAATCGTACGTTGCATAATTCAACATTAGAAATTCATGAAAATATTTTAAATGTTTTTAGAAGGCGGATTTTTACTAAGGTAGTATAAATTCCCATAACCATGGTTGAACAAGAACAAGCCATCCCAAGTGAAAATGATGTTATCTGTGGTGATTCCTCCACAGATATCGGGTAGAATCACACCTGAAAATTCCCTTCGTAGTGCAATGGTGTTTATCTTATCGCAGATTACGTAGTCCTCAGTCATCAGCTATGACAGTATTCCTCGAGAAGATAAATTGGATTTACCCTAAGAGCTCCAAAGTTCATTTATAACCTGACAATGTTTAACACGTGCGTTCGGTCAATGTGACCTTAAGATCCCGAAGATCAAAGATTTGATGAAGTGGAAGGAGTCTGAGATAGGAATTCATTTCTTTTTGGGAGCTCTTGGTTACTTGAGCAAACAAAAAACAGAATGATAAAGTGTATTTTTGAAGAGATAAAGAAAAAAAATATAATCTAGGTTTTATGTTGCTGGAAATTGAATGTAGTTGCATTTTAGCACACAGTTTAACCAGTAACTCAGTAATCTTGAGATTGAATAAACTGGGAGGGATATGTTTCATTATTTTATACTAGTAACAAAAATAATACAAAAATTAAAAAAAAAAGTACAAATATTATCCCAAGGTGCATTCTTTGTTGGGGTTTTCTTGTCATGTGTCTAATCTTTCTACTATGTTTCTGACTCTCTGATTATCACACCTGTCCCTGTCACTTTAACTGAGCTGTAGCTGTAGTGCAGGGGTGGGGAACTCCAGGCCTCAAGGGCCGGTGTCCTGCAGGTTTTAGATATCACCTCGGGTCAACACACCTAATCAGATGATTAGTTCATTACCAGGCCTCTGGAGAATGAATCATGTTGATGAGGTCATTTAGACATTTAAATCAGCTGTGTTGGATCAAGGACACGTCTAAAACCTGCAGGACACCGGCCCTTGAGGCCTGGAGTTCCCCCAAGCCTGCTGTAGTGTTTTATTTTTTAGGTGGGGACACATTCAGTACACATTTATCCTCGTTTTAGAAACTACTCCGATCAGGTTTATTAGAAACAACTACTAAACTTTTTCATCATTCAGTTAATGATGTTAGTTTCATGATTCCTGAAAAGTGGGAAGGTGAAAGATATTTTTGTCCTGTGTTTTTTTCTGATTTCAGATTTTATTTGATGTTATTCCCTATTTTGCAGGTCTGAACGTTGGTTGTTTTTATGCTGTCGGGACCCTACTGAACCGCATGATCATCGTGCATTACCCTGTATGTCCGTTTCCTCTGCACTCATCTCAAATCATTTCTATTGCCTGTAACTCTAGTGACTCTTCAACAAATGAATAGTTAGACTTAAATAGTCAAATATAAGGTTTAATATTTTAAACTAATGTAACTTAAGTTCAATAAACAACACTGTAATAACAGATTTATCACAGCTAAACCAAGTTTGGAAGTTTGTTCGCTTACAAGCTCAAACCAATGCTATATTTAAGGCATAGGTGCCATTTCTCTTAAATCGTTTTATAAGTTAAACAACAGGAAAAGGGAACGATCTTCTCTGTTTGTAGTACTAAAAAGGTGTGTGCAACCTCCTTGTGTGGATCTCTAGTTAATCCTTGTAGATATACAGTTTTTGGGCACTGCTCATTGTTCTCGGCTTTTTTAGGGAGAAGAAGTGAACGCCGGGAGGATTGGCCTCACCATCGTCATCGCAGGGATGGTCGGCTCCCTCATCTGCGGCGTTTGGTTGGACAGAACGAAAACGTACAAGTAAGGCGAACATCGAAAAGGGAAAGTACATTAGCAGCAGTTCTTCCACAGGGGGTGTTGTGTTTTGGGAAAAAGAAGACAAAGGGACGTGCAGAGCAGGAGATAAAAATCAAACGTTACTTGTAACGAAACTGAAAAAAACAAACAAAGCGATGGGCTGATAATCTAAAAACTTACCACTTTTTCCGTGCCACCAGAAAGCAGCCAAATGAGTGCTGTTTTTTTGGGCCTTTTTCACCTTTTTTGACAGACATGGCGAAGAAAGGACAGGAAAGCAGAGGGAGAGAGAGATGGGGGAGGACATGTGGCAAAGGGCTGCAGGTCAGATTCGAACCTGGGCTCGCCGCTCGCAGTCGTATGGAATGTGGTCGCCCGCTCAACGCACTTTGCTAAATCGGCACCTGATTGTTTATTGTCTTCTCCCTTCTGAACTTGGCGTCCTGCATATCTTGTGTTGCGTCTCTATATCTGTTTATTCAGGTGCAGCATCCTGCTACGGCAGCGACCTCTGCACTCTTCCTCCGGCCCCATGTGCTCTCAGGCTGTGTGGTGACAGCAGTGTCCACCCAGTCGACTCCCTTCTGTTGTAGCTACAACAGCTTTGTATTGCAAATGAGGGGGAAAGCAATAATGTTTAGCTTTATTGTCTAATTCCCCACATTGTAATTATGCTATTACATTGTAATATTTATGAATGGTGTTCATTCATAAATTTATGTCAGTTTATATTTGAATATTATTACCAGTTCTACAGGACTGCATTTTTCATGCTTTAGTATTTATTTGTTATGAAGCTTTGGATGTATAAAATAAGCTTTCTTTGAGACTGTGTGTTTAGGGGAAGCAAACAGAGGTGGTGTTTACCTTCAGTGTTTGTCGCCCATTGTATTGAACTGTGAGATGTGGGCTCACACGAGGTGTGGAATCCACTTCCTTCCTCTCAATACATTTACAAAGGCCTTATTTTGTGTGACAAACAGTAAAGCAAACAGAAAAGGGTACCTGCTATTGAAAAGATTACTCCACAGCACACCTAGTGGCAAAATATTGACATCGACGCCCATGCAGGCAGCAATATTTTGCTGTCAATGGACAAAAAAAAATGATAACAGCCGTTCAGCCTTAATACAGGTTGTCTGAGGTAGGGTTGAGCTACACCCTTGCACCTCCTCTTTTCTCAGGCATTAAAAATGTTATCCCTCGACATTTGCCCGTTAGACTTTGCTCCGTTTTTCTTTGTTTGTTTGATTTATGTCAGATTTCTGATTAATAAATGTGGCATACATGAAACAGGACAGGAAGCAGTCTTTCCCACACATAAAAGATTTTGGAGACACAGATTAAATGAAATGCAGGGAAAAAGTATACCCTCGTGCTACAAACATAAGCTGAGGGATTTCCCTCCTGGAAAAGCAAGTTAGCCAGCCCACATGAAGCTAAAAGCCAGAAATGACTTGTGGTTAGCTGTGTAGGGTAGGTAGGAGCATTCGTTTTGTCTGGTGGGTGGAGCACAGAGGAAAAAGTGAAGGAGAGAGAGCTGGTTTCGAACCCTCCAGCTGACTGGGGCCTCTCTGTGTGGTGTCTTTTTTTCTTTGCATGTTCTGCGTGCAAAGGTTTCCTTCCACAGTCCAAAGACATGCATGTTTGTTAATTGGTGACTGTACACTGGTTGCCTGTCTCTTATGTAATAGGCTGGTGCCTCTCGCCAGATGACAACTGGGATACACTCTAGCCCCCATCCCCCCCACCCCCAGAGACCCGAAATTCTCTAAATTTCTGGCAAATACTTGCTGCAGCTTTACGTTTTGTTTCTTTTACTTGCAAAACTGCCGCACTACGTACTGTTACATATGTGCGTGCAGTCATAATGATCACTGCTGTGCTCACAGTGACATGTATTACTCATGCTCTTCTTTTCCCCAGGCAGACGACCCTTGCAGTCTACCTCTTGTCTCTGGTGGGGATGATCGTTTATGCTGCTACACTCAGCCTGGGACACCTCTGGGTGGTTTTCATCACCGCTGGAGTACTTGGGTATTCTTTTATTGTTTCTTCTAACATTTTGGTTTTTTGTTGTTGTTGTTTTACACAAGTAATGTCATTAAAGGAATTTATTTCTACTCATTTACTACTTTGATTCTACTTCAGAACACCTTTATTTCTGTGAATCGAGAGAGAACAAACGCCCCTCATGAATATAAAAATTTTGATAGATACTGTGGATCTGTAAAAAAACCCAAAAAACCCAAAAATAACAAAATATGGAATGTATCCGTAGTAGGCAAGTGAGTGGGCTATTGTATTTGTACATTTTAAAAGTATGTATAAAAGTACGTGTGCACACTTTCGATTCAGCCGTTAAACCATGCAAAAATCTTCCGTCATGTCCTAAATTCTGCTGCTGGTCATTTCCCTTGGCCCGGTACCTCTGTTGACATTTGCAATAATAATTTACAGCCCTGGTTGTTTCAGCTTCTACAAACATGTAGACCCTACGAAGTTTAGACAAAGGCCTGCATTTGCACCTAAACTCATGAGAAAAGGAAAAATGTCCTTATGTAAATACATAAATATGTGCATATATGTGCATTAGTTTAACTTAACTGAAATGTGTTTTATCAAGAAAACCCCCTCGCAGTGATGTTTTCCTGGAAGCCCATGCTGCAGAGCAAAACAAAGCAAAACAAAAAAATAGAGACAGCGACAGTATGTCATATAGTAATAATGGTGCAGGATTATTTCAGATCACAAAAATAAAAATACATAACCTCTATGAACTGGGAAAACCAAACCATTTAAATGTTTATGGGGGAAATCATCTACTAGGTTTCCTCTGGGTTGCCTCTCTCTTCTTGGAATTAAAAAACAATCTTGTTCATCGAGTTTAACCTTTATGTGGCTGTGAAATGATTACACCCTCAGCAGCACACAGTGATCTTCCAAATTGGAATTCCTTTCCTCTGGAAGTGCATCTGCATGATCTATGGCAGACATAACTTTAGCCTTGTTTTTTTTAAACAGGATTTTTTTAAAGAAATGTGTTTGACATTAAAGGTCAGCGCGTCTGCTGCTTTGTAGTCTCCGTATCATATTGACAGAAGAGAAGAAATGTGTCTGTCTACTGACTCAGACTGATGTGTTTTGCTATTGCAGCCATGTCAGAGGCTTTTGATTTGAGTTTCACTTGCTGTCACTTTAGTGGAAGAACAACACCCTGCTGTTGAATGAGAAAAAGAATCTGATGTGACTGGACTGCTTTGAAAAACCTGCTGTTCCTGTATAAATTCTCCAGTGTTATTAACTTGAGACAACATGAGTGTTGATTTCCTGGAAGAACAATCAAATGTTGTAGGTACAAAGTGTCCATGCACTTGTCAGCTAACATGATAAGGGGCATTTTATTGAACGGAGCCAGTGTCCTGTTTACGCATTTACACGTATAAAACTGTAGCAACAAAGCGAGCAGCAATTAAATAAACTCACAAATTCTTTTTTATGCCTATTGTGGATCCTTGTGTCCAGGTTCTTCATGACGGGCTACCTGCCACTGGGCTTTGAATTTGCAGTCGAACTGACATACCCAGAGTCAGAGGGAACATCTTCTGGCCTCCTCAACTGCTCAGCACAGGTACAGATCAATGTTTTCAGTGTGATAGCAAAAAAGAAGAAAAGAACCAATGAAATGATGGATGTAAGCTGTGTTCCCTCCATGGAAAAAGTGAGTCATTCAGCCTGTTGCTCTGGAGGAATTGACTCACTATACTGTAAATGCAGGTTTTCACGGGAATTTTGGATATAAACAATAAAATGGGATTTTGTTGACGGCTGGCATTGCTTTGAAATAACGTGCTTTTGTGGGGGGGGTTTGGCATTATGAGGCAATTTTGACTTCCTTGTTTATATATTTATTTCGTAGTTTTGTTTATGCATTTGTAATGCCTGTTCATAAGCAGGCAAGACAGATTCTCTCAACATCACGGCAACTGTGCGTGATATATTTGCAAAAACTCAGTGTGTAGTTGAGCTTCCTTCATCTGGTGCATAAACATATTCGCCAGCTGCAGAAGATCCAAGATGCATGAAAATAAAAACCGAGTTCAAGGACGGGGTTTGCTCTTTATCCTTCCCGGGTGCGTGCAAGCGCTAGCTTTAATCCTAACTACCCCATGTTCTGCACCCACACACAGGTGTTCGGAATTATATTCACCATTTGCCAAGGCAAGATCATTGACAATTACGGCACGCTGGCAGGAAACATCTTCTTGTGCGTCTTTCTTCTGATAGGCACAATAATGACAGGTAAGACCTCCGTGACTGTGAAAAATACACAGTTTTGAGTCATAATAGAGTACTGATTTAATGTCACACATACAGAAATGCACAAGAATTGTCTTTGCTGTCACTTTATCCTGTTACGAGTTTACTAATACTCCTATGTAAGAATGTCACGTTCCCAGAAAGCAGGACTTAGTTATGGTGTAATTTGGAGGAATACTTGAGAACATAATGCTATTTTTTATTACACTTTACACATAACAGACAAATTTGTCACCTCTTACAAGAAGGCTGTCTGCAGCTCAGATAAAACAGAGTCTGCGGCTTGAGGTGGCATTCTGCGTCATTCTTCATCATCGCTAGGAAGAGATTTTCTTTGAAATTAGAGAACAACAAAGCTGTATACAACTAAACTGTTCAGAGGGAGGAGTGGTGAACATTTTCTTAAGCCCTGGAACCATTTAGTAAAGACAGTGCATAGCTCTACAGACACGCACTCGGCAGGGGTGTGTTTTCAGGTAATAAAGGTGATTTCAAAACCACTTAGGAGATTTTTCATGACCCATCGATGGGTTTAACAGCAATGTTTAACTTTTTAAAAATGCCTTAACCTTTAATGACACTTCTTAAAGGTCAACAGACTGACTCACTAACTGCTTTTTGTTCATATGAGTAAACTTCTTATTGTGGTCATGAAGTTTTAAAAGAAAAACAAAATGTTTGTAAAAAAACAAACAAACAAAAAAAATCCGCCCTGCTCTCCGATTGGTGATAAACCTTTGTATGAACGTACATGAAGGCACCATTAGAAGGCAAGGCTGTGATTGTTTTTGTGAAATAGTCTCCTCCTTCCATGAAAATTGAAGTTAATTATTAAATTACAATCACGCTGTTTTTTTAAATAATTGCTTTTGACCGGAGTTTCTCAGCAGGCTTAGTTGTTTTTAGATTTGCATTGGTAGCCACACACTCTTTGAAAATAGTTAACAAGGTGTCTTAACTTGAATGCCACTATTAAGACTTGAACGTGTCTGTGCATAGGAGCCACCTACTGGATAGTCACTGTTATTACTTCGTTTCAATAAACTGTTTAACTTGTGTGAAGTAATACGATCCTGTTTTGCTTGTGTTCGTCTCTGTGTTTGCAGTGGAGGATCCATCAGCTAATGCAGACTTACCCTCTCTCTGTCTTTCTTTTTTTACAGCTTTAATCAAGTCTGATCTCAGGAGGCAAAATGCTAACCTGCAGGCCAAAGCAGCCGTAAGTTTTGAAGCAAGCCAAGGGTGTAGCGCTTTGCTTGTTTGTTGGGGATATGAAACAAAAGCGGTGGTACTATGAAGTCAAATAGGCCTTTTCACGGAAGACATTTTGACATGTCAGTGTAGGAAAAGCATTTTATTCTTCATCCTTTGGCTAGTACCATGTACTGCAACAGATGCCATAAATAAAATATTTTAATAGAGTGTCAAAATGTCTACTGTGAAAATGATCCATGTGTTAAGTGTTTGTCTGTCGTGAGCGATAAGTCACCTGTGCATCCCAGGCTCCACAGAGGAGGACTGTTTTTTGCCTTTGTTTTCTGTGATCCTGCATGTCTGCATCAGTTTAGCTAAAAGACGCTGTTGAATATTCACTGACTCTGTTGGCACTCTGCACACTTAAATATTCTTATGTAAACTTTTATGGAACTTGTCAGCCGTTATGACTTTATGGTTGCAATTTTCTTCTGTTCTTAAGTCATTCTGTCACCATACATTTCTTTCTCTTTCTGGGTGGGTTTCCAAGATCTGTGGTGAAGTTGCTGATAAGTGCTTAAAGTTTAATTCCTCACATATATATAAATGTGTTTCAGTCTCTCAAGCCATCTTAAAAGGAGTCAAATTAAACAAATTTTTAGCTCAAGATTTTTATACTTGGACTCTACTAAGACTTCTTCTGATTGGCTGCCCCTCACAAATGGAGCATTTAAATAGCAGGTGTCTGTTTAAGATGACTATGTTATTATTAATATGAACACAGAGCCAAGGTTTGTGAAAACTGAGCACTTAGAACACAGTGAAGCCTGAGCTTTTTGTGTACATACTCCGGCCTCACTATTTGAAGCTGATTAGCACGAGCAACCACTAAACATATATGTGTGTGACAGATCAGATTCTGGTGAACTTCACTCCAGACTGGAGCCCCACTCCTCTATAAACACTGAATGAGAAGTGATCAAAAGCATTTGTTTTAGGCGGAGAGGCACAAGTCAGGACAAGACTACGGAGCCACATCGCTAATCTCCGAGCAGCAGACTTCTTCTCAAGCCTGATCAATAAAAATTTTCTGCTTCCACAAAAAAAATAAAAAATGAAAAAAAAATCTCAAATCTTAGCTCATCATAAAGGTGCACAAAGGTAGGAGCACAAAGCAATCACCACACACTGCCACTGATCAAGAGCACCTGCTGTACACCCTTTTCACTGTTACACCTGTTTTACTGTCTCTATGTGTTTCTGAGGATCGTGCAAAAGAAATCATAATTACACAATCATGAAAATCATGTGATTTTTGATTCTTCCCCATGAAGCCCTGCTACTGATTTTCTCAGTAGCAGTTCTACTAAAATCAGCTAAAGTCACTTAAGGACAATTAAGTCAGCTGGGGGTAATCATTAACCCCTGCATGAACCTGTTGATTCCAAAACACTTCCTCACATTGGATTACAGCTACTTCTAACTATCCTATTTTTGAACAGCTGACTGGCTTAAACTTTCCTCATAAATGCGAATGGCACTTCCATATAGAAATAAAACAGCGCGGCTTATCACAGTAGGAAATCAAGAACGAGATCATACAGCTCATCATGCTGTGTGATTCACTTTAGTGTTCTTGTGTTTTAGGAGGCCAGTGTGTGAAGTTGCTGCCTGCGGCATGGCTTTGATTGGATTTGAATCACAGCGTAGTGTTTGTGATTTTTCAGATGAAGTCAGCGCGGTACTGCTAATTTTCCTGTTCTTGCCTGTTGTTGCCTTTGCTTGCTTACAGCGCTGTCCTATATCCTACTAATACCACCAGAGATTTCATCTAGTTAAAAGTATGGACGCTCAACATGAATGGAATAAAGTCCTTGCTAGTTGGATCTTTACTTAATCCTTTTTTTCACTCCATCTTTGCTTTAGTTATTTAAAATGATGAACATGTAATGTATGTGAAAGGAAATTAAAAATGACATTATAGCAATAACCAACATTAAGCTGATTACAGTCTTTAACAATAAGAAAATGTTGTTAACTACTATCTTCCATCTTCATAACTGATCTTCTGCCTTTCTTTAAGAGAAAATCAAACCTGTGAAGGTTTTTTTTTTTGTATGAAATCTTTTCTACTGATTTAACAGTTGCATCGTTTTTGCCTCCCAGAATGCTTTGATTGTGGCAAAAAACTTTCAGACATTGATTTTTGCAGTCGCATGTAAAATGTACACTGGATTGAGGCGCACTTTCTGCTGCTGTTTGTGCAGTGCCATGAGGATTTTATTTCCCTTTTTTGCCCTGCAGACACATAATTTTATCTTTAAGTTTTCTTGATCTTCGAGAGTCTTTCTTGAGTTCCACAGCTGGTTTTTTACTGTTGGTTTCCGGTGAAATTTGCTCTCATTTATGCTAATAGTGTTCAGTCAGCTTCATCTTTGACTCGAGTGTCACAAAGGTTTTGAAGAGTCAGATGGTTTACAGCGCTTGAACCTATCTTATCTGTTAATTAAGGTTGTAAGCAGGTTCATTTTACAAGTAAGGAATGTGATAAAACCTTTGCACGTGGCCCAATCATAGATTGTTTTCTACAGTACATATAAGGGTAAACAAAAAAGAAAATTAACACTTGAAGCGTCTCATCTTTTGCCTTTCTGTCCTTTGTTGTGTATTAACACAACAAAGGACAGAAAGGTGAAACATTTATATTTATTTAAATTCATTGACATTTTTGCAGTGCTTAGATATGCTCTAACACATAGCACAACTCTTTTCTTTCACATTTAACAAATTCAGCTATATATAGGCTAATTTATCTGGCTTAGGGTGTTTCTTTACATAGTGTGTATGAATGTGCACATAAGCTATCATTAAGTTTAGCTGAGCTTCAAGACACTACCGTGACCTGGATGACTGAGAATGTACACATATGTGTCAGGCTAAAGTTTACTCCAGAGACTCTTTTGGTGGAAGCTAGCCCAAACAGACTAAAGTCTACAGAGACAAACTGTGTTTTTTGTGTTGAAGGCATTAAAAAAAACCTACTGATCTGACCCATCTCTTTTGATTTCCAGGATTCTTCCGACTGGCACAATGGAAGCCTGAGTGCACCTTCTGTTATCATCGAAGCCAAGCTTTAGACACAAACACACTAACAAGCCTCAAAAATGACCGTGATCTCATCCCTGTTATAGTGCAAAGGAAGCCTTTAGATCAACTTGACGGCTAAGAAAAGCTCTTTGATCTGTATAATTACATGAATGAAAATAATGTCACTAATCAGAAATATTTTTGTAATATTTAAATATAAATGTTATGAATGAATCTGCGAGACAAATCTGAGAAACTTTTGTGCATCAACAGTTTTATTGGTATAGTGCACTGCTGATTATGTATACGATGAAAAATCTTTTTTTTTTCACTGTATGCAATATGTAAATACAGTGTAGGATTTCTAGAAATTTTAGGGAGAGATTTTTTTTATGAAATTAGGGAACTATTTATTTAGAATTCAGGGAAAGATTTAGAAAGGTTCTCTAATCCATAGCTTCTACTGTGAGGGAAGAACAGGAAAAATATGATGAATTAAGGTTGTGTAGTATTTTTGTAACAATCTTGTTTTACTTTAACATGAAATAAAAGCATTGCATAAACATTTTGATTCATTTGTTTTTTTCCTCATGCTTGTTGCATGCAGAAACACAGTGTGCTCACTGTTACAGCATAACTCAAACACAAATGCACCACACCCATCACAGGCCTGAGAGTAGAGACATGCAGTATTGTTACTGTTACACAGTTTTAGTGTTTAAATCATTTTTAGATGGAAGCATCTGACTAGACCCAAATTCGTTCTGCAGTTTCACAAAGATCTCATCAAAATACAGCCAGAGCCAGAAGTAAAGTACTCGTCTAAATGACAAGAATGACCCAAGAAGACTTTTTGTCGTAGCCTTTATCTCCACATTGTGACATCAGTCTGGCATTACAATAACGGGAATAAGACACGGAGATAGCCTAAGTTGATAGAGGAGCTGGTGCCATTCATGTGAAACTAACTGCCACGTAAAAACTGATAGTAATGAATCTGCTATTGAAATGTGTCATTCTGTTATCTGGATCCTGTGAACTGATAACACGGTACTGAGTTGTGTTTAAAGATAAACACATTACTGTCTTACAGTACACAAATCTACATGCACACGCTGGGACTATGGTTCCCGAAGAACTATAGTCTAAGTTGCTGACGAGAAGATGAAGTCATATGTGGGTTTTAACTTATCTTGGATAAATCAAACAGCACATGGCAGAGCCCAGCATTCTTCCTGGTCTGATCTAAACCGAGACACTGTTTGAAAATTGCAATTCAAACGTAAAAGGCTGCTATGATAAAAGGTGGCAGGTACAAATGATTCCAAATGCAAAATGTCTGTGAAGGTTCTCAGTCATCCAGGTCATCGTAGTCAAAGGAGCTTGCAAAGAAAAGCGTCTGGACTTCTTTAAGTTACTTGAAGACGTTTCACCTCTCATCCGAGAAGCTTCTTCAGTTCTAAGGTCAAATGGTGGGGAGTCCCAGATTTAAATTCCTTTTGCATTTAAATTCCAAATGCAAAAGCATGATGTTTTTCTGTCCTTCAGTGAAACAGGGAAGCACATCATACCCATCTGTTTGCTCTGATGAATATAGGATTCAACTGGATCACAGATTGCCATTGTTTATCCAAATTCCACTTTACAAATATACATGCAAGGCTTTGTGTACCTCATTCGACCACACGGTGGTAGCAGTGTTACATAAAGACAGGCACAGGATCGTCTGGGGGGGAGCAAAAAGAGAAATCGTTTACATTTTGGGGGCTTACTGATTGCAATGAAATTAACTTTAAAAGTGTCTGGTGCAGATTAACCTGACAATATTTATCTTATGCATAAAGCAAGATGACAATGGTGAACTTCTCATTGGCATGAAGAGATAACTGGCCTCTGAGCAGTTTTGTTATGAGATCATCCTGACTTAAGGCCAGTACTGAGAGAGCCGTTCTTGGATGATCTCATTGTTCTCTAGTTAGCCTGTGACTGATCCTTTGGCACAGACATGTTTCTAGATTTTGAGTCATGGGTTTTTCATGGTGCTACAGGTTCATCAGCTTATAAATATGTGGAAATACTACTGAGCAGTAGTATATCAGTTCTGCTGTCACTCACTCCCCAGCAAGGCTGCTTTTAAGATTTTATCAAATTTGTCAAGAAGAGAAGCTGTAGAGAGAATTTCTGGGGCTCATATTTTTGCCATGTACCACACAGTAGACACACAACTAAGAGTTTTATTAATGTGGAATACATGAACCGCATGCAGAAAGGTCACAAAAGCATGAGGACAGGCAGGGTGTGACCTCTGTCTCACTAGGGAAACTCCTGCCCACCCACGTGTAGAAATGGATGTTTGAATAAGGCCCCTTGTACCAGTATGACATTTCAGAGCTGCTTGGAAGAACTTACTGTACATGCAGGAGGAAGGTTGGGTCACTTGTTTCTTACCGAGTGCTTCTGCTTGTCTTTTGTCACTTCTTTAGTTGCTTTAGTTTTCTCCTCTAAATACCAACAAGTGTGTGTCTCAGTGGATTGAAGTTGCATGGAGGTAGAAACATTTTTTCTTCTTACCAGTTCATAAAACAGGGCCTGTCACAATTGGAAAACCGCAACACTGTATTGGGTGAGCTAAGATATGTAATTTTATACTGGGTTATAAATACCAGGTGTGACATTGCGGAGCTGAAATAAACCAGGTGAACATTTTTTAGGTTCCTGGGGCTCAGTATCATAGAGACGGTTGTTAGACATCTCCACTCTGGCACAGAAAACTTCTGAAAGAATCTATACAAGGCTGAATTTCCAGGCCTTTCTGACTGGTAAATAGGTGCAACAGACAAATATCTGAAGAGTCTGTAGTGGGAGATTTAAACCACCCTGATCACCATTGGCACCCATCTACCAAGCAGTGTAGATGCAGTTTATATGTATTTGCGTAAATGCATTTTTGTTATACAACAGTGTATTGCATAGTGGTAAATGCTCTCCTGGATCTCTCTAAATGTTATTTAAAAATAAGCCTGAAAAAAGAAGCCAACTGGACTTTTGTAAGTTTGTAAAGACATTTCACCTCTCATCCATGAGGCTATTTCAATTCTAAAAACAAACGGTGGAGAGTCTCAGATACCTTGACCTGGATGAATGAGAATGTAGGAAATTGCTCAAAACAACCCAACAGACCAACACTTTTGTGCAGCACCCATCCAGCCTCTTATCCAGTTCAGGACCACTGGAGGCTAGAGTGCTGGAGCCTATTCCAGCTATCACAAGGTCTGAACAGGGCGCACCTTGGACAGGTCACCATCTATGAAAGGGCACAGAGAGAAAGACAACCGTTCAAACTCATGGCCAATTTAGAATCAAACATTAACTAAACACGCCTGTGAGGGGATGCCAAAGTACTCGGAGAGAACCCACGCAGGCATACGGAGAATTTGCAATAACTCCATACAGAAAGGACCCAGCCAGCCATTGGCTTCAAACCCAAAGACCTTCTTTGCCGTGGGGCAACCATGGCAACGAGCGACCAAATTTAGAAGTCACAATCACAATCGACATTCCTTTTTTTCTAACAACAGATATCTTGTAATCTTATAGCTTTTAGAGATGCCAGCAGGCATTTCTCTTTTCAATAGAACTCATGCTAAACTAAGCTTACCGCTTTAGCTAGGCCTATACTTAAAACACACACACACATAAACACACACACACACAGAGCATGGGCCAGGTTAGTGCTGGCCTCACACACGAGTGCTAGATCATGCTATCAAAGTCTCAACAAGGAAGTAAATCATATCATCCAACAGCAATACTCATTTAAAACAGAGCCAACTCAAGATAAATGGCACCTTCCTGTTTTTCCCCCCTTGAGCCGTTGTTGTAACACACCTCATGGTGCATACCGTCATATGGCCCGCTCCTAGACATGCTGAAGTATGGCCTTGTGGAACTACAAAACTGCCAGTATTACCAGCATTACCACAGGATGGGTGATGGTGTACCTCACTCTGTGGCAAGATGATTTGTTTTGCAGTGCATGATGGTAAAGTGCGTCATTACCCCGAGAGTGCTAGCTCACAGATATTATCAGCTATCCACACCATGATCCATCCTGCACCCACAAAACCAAAAATACACAGTTTAAATTCTACACTATATTTAGCTTGTGCAGGAGAGGTAGCAGGAGGCAAGCATTCTGTAAGCAGTTGTTTATTTCAAATGAGGTTTAGGGACTAGATTGTAGGCCTGATCACAGCCGGTTAGAAACTTGAAATAAGCCATCAGTTTGCCAGTAACACGGCCGGTTAGCGTAAGAGTGCAGATAACCATCAGACTCACAAAGCATGGATCGGACAGAGAGATGTGGAGAGAGGAGGCCGCGGCGATCACGGCATGACACAGTGCCTCCTATTTGTCTTACCTTTTCAAACAGCAGCGAAGATTGATGTTGCTGGCCACATTTGACACACAGTAGTAAAGAGGGAGCGGTGTGGAGCCGAGCGCTGACACACGGGTGGAAAAAAGAAGGATAGACAAAAGTAAGAAAAAGAGAAATGAGAAAAACAGAGACAGGCCACTAAAACACAAGAAGGTCTAGCTGACAACAGGGATATCAAAACAATGGCAACAAAAAGACCTCGAGGAATCTTG